CTTCCACTAGACCATGTCGCCCAAGAGTTGATTCTCTCTCTGCTATAATTGCATTACTTTGGGTTTTTTAAAAAAAGGACAGTTTGGGCACTAACCTAAGACTAGAGAACTAGCCTAAGCCTCATCTCTTGCATCCCCTCTGCTATAACCCTGGGTAAAACCTTAGCTTTCCTGTGCTTCAACTCTTCCTCAGGAAATAATGGGACAAGCATTCAATATTCACTGACAACATGCCTAACAGAGAGAAAAATGGGGGCTGTAAGACCCACAGAGAGATGTGATACATGCTGGCCAAGATTTCTAATCACATCAAAGAGCACCCAAAGGGCCCTCTTGTATTGTGAATGGTTTCAGGCAATCCTGGACAACTCAAGTCCTGCCAAAGCTCATCTGGTCTGGGAGGGGGAGATGGAAGGGTTTATAGAAATTGTCTTAATTTAGTTTAAAATTCAGCTTTCCAGGTTAATTTAGTCAAAACTGAAATTTTCCTACAGAGAAGACAAAAAAAGGGTACTTTGACAAAAACTTCTTTGACAAATATACCTGGAAATATAATTTTTGCTAGTCTCAATAAACACTTGACCAGATTCTATTCATACCACACTAGCTGTACATTACTGGCACTAAATCTCTGTTTCTGTATAAGTGAAGACAACAATAGCTGGGGAGAAACCATGGCTGTGGTCAGCAAACACATGATGAGGAGGATAGTGAGTCCCATGAATACTTCATTTCTGCTATCACTGGTTGCTTGCAGAAGCCCCTTTTCTACCTGGGGTTTCCAGACTGAAAGTTATGTTTTGAGTGCTGTGCAGTTGGGATTAAATATAAAATATGACTGGTATCTAGTGAAGATAGACTTCTTCCCAAAACATCCTGGAATTCTACATTAAAAGATACTTTTAAAGAGCATAAATGCTTAAAAGGGAGGACTGATGCTAACCCACTCCATGCAGTAAACACTGGCTCTTATGCACTGTTGTATTTCCTCCAATACTAGCTCAAGTGTTGAAGGCTCTGCTTGTCACTAATGTGAATTTGCAGCAGAAATCCAGAATTTCACACTCATGTAGCAAGAGCTGCACTGAAAATGTTACGACAAAGAGCTTTTAGCTCAGAGAAAATGTTTTGTCTTAACACTGCTGCACTTATTAAATGAATAATTTTAACAGGAAACCAACCTACCAGTCAAAAATGTATTTGAAGTAATGCCAGTCAATTACAGATTCACTCTCAGTGCAAGGGTGACGACAGCGTACCAGTCAAGCATCTGTCTCTGTTTTTCAAATATACACAAGTGGATAAGCAGCAAGGGTCACCTCAGGGCTGAGTCACTGCAAGGACCTCTTGCAATAGAGAACTCAGCAGTTGCTGGTTCCTAAAACAGCTCCATGGGAAGGGAGCTACGGCTACAGCCTGTTCCCAGGCTGACATGCATACTGATATCTTGAGGCCTGAGGGTGACAGCTTCACCTGTTTGCAAAGGATTGATTCCGGTGGCTGAAGGGGCATCAACACATGTGCCCCCTCCTTCCTTGCACATCCAGGATCATTTCTGGGATCCTGGATAACATCTCCTATGTAACTGCATCAGACTAGCACAATAGTACTGTTTAAGTAGATAAAAATCATCCCACATAAAAGGAATAAGAACAGATTTTTCTGGATATCTATCACCTTTGCAGACTGATTAATTAAAATAACCATCATCACACACAGTTACAGTGCATAAGCAATGGCCTAGATAACATTCACCCTGTATAAGAACCCTAACTGACCCCTGACAGACTCCATGCAGCATTTAGTCACAGCACAATTTTTGCTCATGGCACCAAATTCAGCAGTCAGTTAATACACTCCTCTGCACCTAGTAGAGCCTCACCAAGAAAACACCATGAAGGTGAAGACAGTCTTTTAACACTTTCCATGATTTCCCATTTTTTCGCCATTTATACAAAACATAGCAAGAAGCTGTGTGTTTGCAAAGGACTGCATAAAAGGTATATTTATGTAATAATTCTACAAAAGTAACAGCCATGGCAAAACCCAATTCTTTTTCTAGGCTGTAGTGCAGGTGTAAGTACTTAAGTGGAAGATAAAGAAATCTCCAAATGCGTATGTGGAATGACCCTAGCCCTGTAATGCATCTGCTGCTTCATGTATTTAGTCCACACAGCAGGGACAACCATAGGTGTTGGAAATGGCATAATTCAGATTAACAGTGAAACAAATAAGCAACTAGAATCTAATTCTGTCTTTGTAGTTAAGCTCACATCTTCCAGATTTTCCATAAAATTACTTTTTCTCTGTGGCTCCTTATGGAACCTCACACTCTTTCAGAGACACATGAGGTCTAAGTTCTTACATCACTACAGGACAAAGAATTACAGCACACCATCAGGGACCATGAAGATGATCCTGTATGGGAATGACAGACAGCCTGTCATCAGCAATGCCTCCAAAGGTACCACATACACCCACTCAATGGACAAAACAGTATGTACATACTGCCCTACCTCCCATCTCCACAAGCAGTAGGGGTTTGGAAGCCCTTCCCTCCAGAAATTAAACAAATACCTATCCAGTGACACTTTATCATGCCTTATGGCAGGGAGATGTGTTTACTGGCTTTTCCCAATCCAGTCTAGCTCTATTTGTCATGTTATTTTCTATGTGGGACAATGGCAGGGGTGAGAGGGTGGCTTGTGATCTTATTTAGACTGCAAGCTCTGCGGCACAGAAACCTATGATCGAACTGTGCCTGTCTCACTGATGCCAATACATAAATGGTAAGTGTGAGAGAATAACAACAGTCTGAATCTCAGGGGAGGGGGGGAGAAGATACAATAAAATGAATCTTAACAAGGAGTAGTAGTTATTATGAAGTAAGGAAAAAGGACATCTAAGTACAAGTAACCTGGCAGATGACCTCTGTGGTAAGTTGTTCTTGCATACATGACAATACGGGTTCATACATGATCAAGAGAAACCCAGGGAGCTTAGAGAAAATGCATCAAGCATTCCTGAACTCCGTATTTGGCCAAGTGCCTCCACAGGCAGTTGAAGGAGCTGAGCTGGCATCTGGCACAGCTCTGGGTGACATCTTCCCCTCCAGCTAACCTTCAGCTGTGAGTAATTTATCACAGGTGAGGGCCTAAGGATACCCATTTTTTAACTACAGTAACATTCAAACAGATTCAATTTTTAAACATCTACTGTAGTGAGATACAAACTCCCCAGACAAAGCAGGGGGGAGGGTCACCAGAAGACAGAAAAGTTCTCTTTACTGCACTGCTCAAAGCAACCTTAGAGTAGGATGACTTGAAACAATATGGCTATATTTAACCACTGGGATATGTTTCCAAAAATCCTCTGCTAGGAATTTGCAGAGGAAAAACATGCTTGTGATGCTTTTGATCTCTCCAGCATATCTGAATTAGCAGAACATGCCCAGGCAGCAGACCTCAGCCCCACAAATCCAGAGGGGTTTTTGCACCCAGCTATGGCAATGCTTATACAACACTGGGTTCTTAAAAATGCTCCAAATCTTTAGAGAAGCAGGTTAAAGTGGATGTCTGCCCTTGAGAAATGAAGGCAGAATTATTTTCCATGAGAAAAATAAGAGTATTTCATTTTTTTCCCGTTTCTTTGTTAATTATTTATACAAAACACATCAGCTCACACACTTAGTGGGTATTACACACACATAGTTTGCTGCGTGGGTGATGCAGATGGTTTCAGCTCATCTTATTCCTGCCAATCAACTCATTAATATGTTCCCCGGTATACCCTTGAAGTATGGGGTTCACCAGCATTCACCTTTATAATTTCAATTCACTAAAATGTTTTTTGAGAAAAAGAACACAGAAATATGGACAACATGTGCCATAGGCACAAACAGTAGTGAAGATTTCAACTTCTCATGCTCTTTTTGTCAATAAAATAAAGACTCAGAGCAGAGGATGGAGCTGGCAAGGGTCACATTGAGGAGGGAAATGGATACCTGGCTCTAAAAAGTGAATTAAAACTCCCAGCACCATGCACTTCAAGACCATGGTCCTTGTCAGGCTGGAGAATATTCATACAAACTGTTCTTTGACATTGGGTGTCACATACATGACAGAACAGCTCATTCTCAGAATACAAGAAAACAGTCAAATATTAAAATAACAGTTGAATTGCCATCACTGGGGTAAGGAAAACACAGCCTTCACCTTGACTTTCTTAAAGTCCTTGGGAAGAAATGCAGACCCAAGTTGCAGTACAAGATTCTTTTATGTCTGCAAGATTAACAGAAAGATTGAGCAGTATTATTTTACTGGTTCAGCTTGGTATCTGCATCAGAAAGATAAAATTTGTGAAAAACTTCTGGTCAACACACAGAGAAAATAAATACCTCCTTTTTGTTATTTGATAACTGATGCTTGTATACACAAAGTGGTCATCCTTGAAAATAATACTCCCGAACTGCAAACCCAGTTATTCCCTCCTCTCTTTATAGGAGGGAACTGTGGTGTTGCTTCAGCATACATGCCTTTCTGTTGCTCCAAATTCTTGTTTTGGGTGTCCCATATTTTCCCAAGCCTAGCATGGAACACTGAAAGAGTCTGGTGTGCCCTCCTACAGATCCCCCAACCCCTTCCCTTCAGCACTGACAGCTTTGCTACCGCCCTGCTCCTTCAGGCTTCAGTAGCAAGGGTAACACACCATCACTTCTCAGACATTCACACCTAACATTCCAGTTCTTTCTAGAGCATCATCACCTGTCATTATTTCTTTCATTTTATTTTCAACCTTAGAAAAAATAAATATTTTCTCAGTAGTCTCTTCTCACATATTTTTTCTTATATATATATAGGTATATAGATATGTCTTATCTCTTTCCAATACCACACTAAGTATTTCTTACCATTACATTTGAGGTGGAAAACCCCCTCCACCTGTCCTGTAAGACACCTTGCTGGTACTTCTTTTATCCTTTCTTCCAGTCCCATCTTCAGCTGTGCTTCAGCTTTTGCCTGTGCCTGTCAATATATCCCTTCACAGGCAAGTGTCTGACTTCACATTTTCAACATTAGCTTTCTTTACTTGTCTCTCTCCCCAGCCACTTCTGGTCTAGCTGATATGGATCTTTCTTTCCTTCACCTCACTCTCCACTTTCATGCTCTGATTTTTCAGATGTCTTATCTTTTGCCTTTTTCTTATATCATCTAATCTCCACCATTATCTCATCTGTTATGATTTATCACTTACACGTAATGAGTAACACAACCACCTCCCTCCCTCTCTTTGCTGTGCTATGCAAGAAGATGTATCAATATACAAGAAAATGCTCAGCTATCATACTGTGCAAAAAAACATTGCCTGTGAAACCTCCTTCCAAACCTGAGCATTTTACACGTTTCCTCACAGACAGAACACAGTCCCTGTAGAGCAAGATTTCGACAGGCTGTCATTACAGCCAGACTTGATACATAACATACAGCATATAACAGCTCACTTAAGCACTCTTATTTTTTGTTTATCTTATTACAAATATAAGTATATGAACCCTTTTCAATAGGTAACATATGCAAAGATCCCCAAATCAATAAGGATAATCCTAGAAGGGCAGGTATTAAACAATACCTTCTATACAGTCCAGAATCTGCAGGATGCCAAATGTTAAGCTCTAATATCATCCCAAAACAAGAGTCAAATTGAAAGAAAGGAAGAAAAAAAAGATCTCTTGTCCTTCTATAACCAAGTGATATTAGCAGAGATAACCCTATTCAGGTTTATTGACCTCATTCTGTTTTTCATTAGCCTTCAGGAGTGGAAGCTAGGCTTTGTTTTGCCCTCCTTCACACAGTTATCAAGAACTAAGCCAGTATTATCTGAAGCTTCATTCTAAAAATCCAAATGCAGTTGAGGTGACAGTCTCCAAACCTTCTTGGTCCCAGAGGCTCTGCTCCGTTCAGCTACACCCTCTATTAACCACAGGATTTTCCACATGCCAGCTGGAACTAATCATCCCAATTACAGGCTTTTGTGGAGAGGAATAGCTGCAGTACAGAAATAGAGAGGTTTGAAAAAAAACCACCACCCTGAAATAGGTCTTATGCAGAGGACAAGATACAGCATAGATTATACAGAAGCCAGCCAACTCTTATCTGGAGCAAAGGAAGACAGAGATACTCCCCAAAGCAGAGAAACCAGATAAGATGACAACAGGGGTAGGTTCTCACCTAAGTGATTTTTCATGGAGCCAGTGGGGGTCCTTGTCATGTCATTCCTGGCACTGGGACAAGGTTAATAAGCACTGTTGGTCCCAAACGGTTCTGCAGTACTAAACTTAATTTGACAAGGCTTATTAGCACTGTCTTTGAGCCTGACAGACCCAAGCTGTCTCTAATGTTCCATTTGTGCGAATTTGTATGATGCTCTCCGATCATGGAACAATGGAAACAAGAATGCAGAGACCTGATCTGGCTCTGTGCTGAGCTCACTAAGGTTTGGCGGGCTTTGTTGGTTTAGGATTGCGCCACATAAAAGCAAATATACTTGCTTTCACACCCCCTTCAATGGCTTTGGAAGATACAGATGTGCTCCAGCTTTCTAAGCTAACACATCTGGCTGGACATGAGCTGGCTCTTCACAATTCAGCTCACATGTGTGCTTGTTCACAGCATCAAACAAAGACAAGCAACCACAGCGGGAAAGACAATGATACAAGGCTTCCCTCTGAGGTCTGTTGTATTTCTATTTAATGAGCAAAGTCAAACATTCATTTACAATGTCTCCCCTGAAAAATTTACTCATCTTACTACCACCTTACAGACACTACAATAAAGATAAAGACACCTGCAGCTGACAGATTCACTTGAAAATGTAAGACCAGACATCACCTGGTTCAGTGTTTGAACTGACTGGACAGCCTCGCCTCTTGTCACCTCTCAACCAGAAATACCAAACACAAACACCACTCCCCATACTCTGGAGAATGCTTGTAAGCTATAAGAGGAAAGTGCATGGAAATGCAGAGAATGAAGACTGCTGTATCTAAACAAACACTCTAACATACTCATTTTTTCCAGGAATGCAGGAGACCCGCAAAAGGGTTGTCTCCTTAGACGCTGCAAGCAACTGTATGAACACCACCTCTATGAAGATACTTAGGTTCTTGCTTTACTGTCTTTATTGTAAGATGATAAAGAGCTCTGTAAGTATGCCCACTTAATAAAAACAAGCCAAGAGCATAATCCTTGTTTTTTTCTCATGTAAGGGAAAACTGCTGGGTGTGCCTTGCTATGACTGATGCAATAGGTCGCATGAACAGGGAAGACAGTCCCACTCACCACCCTCCTGACTGAGCAACCAGAGTAGTATCAGAGGAGATGGCAATGCATAGCAAACACTTCTTTCCAGTGCTCTTCACAATTCCTGATGCAGCACATAGAATCCTACACTGGTTTGGGTTGGAAGGGACCTGAAAGCTCATCCAGTTCCCACCCCCTGCCACAGGCAGGGACACCTTCCAGTAGACCAGGTGGCTCCAAGCCCCGTCCAGCCTGGCCTTGAACACTGCCAGGGATGGGGCAGCCACAGCTTCTCTGGCCAGCCTTTGCCAGCACCTCACCACCCTCACAGGGAAGAACTTTTGCCTAAGAGCTCATCACAGTCTCCCCTCTGTCAGGTTAAAGCCATTCCCCTTGTCCTGTCCCTACAGGCCCTTGTCCAAAGCCCCTCTCCAGGTTTCTTTTTATCCTGTTAGGCACTGGAAGCTGCTCTAAGGTCTAAGTGACTGTTAGCTACAACGTCCTGGAATTTATTACAGATGCCAGTCCTGAATGAAAAGCAGTTCTTCTTACGATACACTTGTGGAACACTAAATTATAGTAATTGTCAAAATTTCCTCAATTATTTATACTCTAGACAGCTGCTGTGGCTACAGCGAGAAGAGTAACCAACATCTTTCAAAGGAGTAAAAAGTAGCAATGATAAATCTTTTAGATGACTTTGAGCAAGATTCATAACTTCCAAGAAACAACAAAGAGCCAAAGCAGAGCAGCACAACACATTGTGGTTTCTGACTGTCAAACTCTCATCAATATTCAGTCTTTCATTTAACTATGAGAGTGGTCATGGGCAGTTAGGAACAGTCATAAACACGAACAACATGAAAACAGCTTCACACACAGGACAGATATTCACATACCCCAAAGTGAGCATTTGCAAGTCAAAGGGATGATTTTGGAATGATACTGTAAAATTATTTTTTCCTCAAGATACAGAAGGAAATAACATTCTTTAAAGTATCATAAATGTTAAGCACCCCTCTCTTAGGATCAATTTCTTATTATTTGCATTACTTGTAAAGTTCTGCCTAGCTTCAGTAACATATTCATGAAGTTCTACATGCTGTTACTTTTGCTGCACTCATTTTTGGTTCTCCAGCTTTAATTATTATATATAAGCAAGATAACAACCAACTTGTTCTATAAATTAAAACTTGGCAGTCAAACCCAAGTTGCATACAGTAAACACCTTAAAGTTTGCAATTTGAAATTTGTTCATTGACTGCAATTTGATAATTTATTTCTTTTCAAAGGATATAGGAACTCCTAATCCAACTTTAAATTGATAGCTAATTCTGCTTTTTCAGTACTGCTCTCTATATTTTTATACATTCCTGTGTAATTACGAGGTACTTCAGAAATATAAAATACTGATAGTATTTAATTTTAGTGAGAACAATACTGATTGTAAGTATGTAATAAATTATAAGGCCTTATTCAGCTATTGTGGAGAACAGGGCAAAAACTGTAATATTAATGTTCTTCAGATTACACCTTTGCTCTCACTACTGCGAAAAACTAACTAAAACCGCTTAGATGTCTCAGACACTGAAGTCACACACTCTTCAGTTCTCAACCACATGCACACAAACCACAGACCACTTTACTACTTACCATTTGAGACCTATTTTTAGGGCAGCCATTGATGTCTTCAATCTTTTCATTTGCTGAAAAGCAAAAGAAAAAAAAAAAGGAAATAAAGAAAATAAAAACTATACCAAGGACATTTATTCCAATTATCCCCAGAGTACTTGCTGCTAGCTAAATCAAGGGATTCAGATTGTAGTTGTCCAGTCAGAGGGAATGTGTGAAGTACCGAGACCATCAAAATAAAAGCAGCTGAAGTTTTCTAGCAGATCATTCCTGCAGAGACAGCTGAGTGCAGAAAACAAGTGGTCTGACAACATCTTGTGTGGTGAGGGGTAACTTCTTTAAATTACAAAGAAGGTTTGAACTCTAGAAGCTGAATACTGCTGGGTGGAAAAGTCAACATGATCTGTGTATAGATGTTTGCATATCAGTGAATTTGCTTGGACAGTGAACATAGGTTTTAAAACTGTATGGGAAATTTATGATCAATAACTGATTTTTTTTTTTTTTTTTTTTTAAAGCACAAGCACTTTGGAAGCTTCTTGCCCACAGCTTAAGGGCAAATCTATTTGCAGAAAAATATAAAGATCCAGTCTTTCAAGTCCCAAGTGAAATAATGAAGTTGCTGAGATGGCTACATGTTTGCCTTAGTCTCAGATTGCCGAGTTTCACATTTAAACCCTGAAATGACTTGTGTAATGGACTGAAGACCAGCTATAATCAAAGTCTGGTTTCCCAGTTTTTTCACTGTAATAAATGTTGTTCACAACTCATTTCATGACTAACAGATTTGCCTCCCATTGATTCTTGTAATAAAAGCTTTATTCTACCAATCCCATATTCTTAGGATATCAGTCAGAACTTCATCTCACTTCACATCTTTCTTCAGTTAGGAGTATCAATGTCCTACCCAAAATATGGTAGGAATTATCACTAAAGAGCTCTGCTAGGTTTGATCCCAGGATTCTGGTTTGAAATACAAACTGACACCTTCCCCTGCAAATGTAACAGTACAATTTCCATGAAAATAGCTATAGACAAAGGCATACATATATATAGACAAAAGGTATAACAAGTCACAGCATAAATTTGAACTTGAATAGCTGTCTGGAGCGATCACAAGTGACTTTTACAAAGATCTATTCTGTTTAAGTCAGTGCAATTAATTGCAGTCAGAGCACAAGTTACCCAGAATACTTATATATACCTGTAAGACAGGCTATCTTGGCATATCCGCCACACCTACACTAAACAATGTGCCCATCACCTCCTGTAACGCTGTACTGATTGCCCAGCACACTCCTGTGCACATTTTACTTTTTACTGAAACTAGTTTTATATAGCTGAATAAGTACTTAACACTAATGCACTGTCTGCATCCTTCTATAGAAAGCCATGGTTTTTGTATCTGATCTGACTTTAGTTGCAGCCAATCAATTAAAAGAATCCTAGAATGCTTTGGGTTGGAAGGGATCTTAAAGCTCATTTAGGTTCCAACCCTCTGCCATGGGCAGGGTCATCTTCCACTAGACCAGGTTGCTCCAAGCCCTGTCCAAGCTGGCTTTACTCCATAAAATATCCTACGCAACAGTAGGAAAAGTCCTATCAGACTGGACTGAAGTTTAACATCAGTTCTAATTCTTGACAATCAAAGGTTGTCACAGGGAACCAACTGATATTTTGATGTACTACTGACTTCAGAGCATGCATATCTGCATTTATGAATTTAAATATAGCTACTATGCTTATATGGCATTATTAAGGGATCTATTACTTGCATATTCTTTTATAGATTCAGATTTTGAGCTGAAATAAATGAGAATGCTATGAATGCATTTTAATTGACTATATTATCATTAGCCATTTTGAAGTGTGAAGATTAGCTCCTCTGAAGTCAAACACAGTGATGTTTGGTTTCACTTTTTTTTTAGATTTTCTCCTTGCTTGGATGCTAAGGTCAAAGAACTACCTAGTTATTACTCATTTTTGAGTTTTGTTTTCCCATACATGCAACTATTTCACTTAGGCAAGCAGAAAAGATTGCAATCATCGTCTTGGCATAGTCACCAAGTCTTATGGAGGCTTCATTAAAAATAAATAAATAAATGTATATAAAAGATTTAACCACATTCATTCTTTTTCCAGGTTTGGATATTAAGTAGTATTTCAATATCCACGGTGTAAATCTTGGGTGGTGAACACCAGAAAAACTATCACTAATAATTAAACTTGAATCAATTCCAGTGACTTTGGATGATCTTGGGATACTCCAAGCACATGACAAAAAGGCAGCTCTTCCTGGCTGCTTTTACACATATCACACCATAACATAAAAAGAACTCTTCTGCACTGCATACAGATTTCTTAATATGCAGCCTCGGTTGTAAGAATGAGAGCTTGTATTTTGCAGGCGAGTGTTGAAGCTGCTTCTAGGTGTGAAAGTTACCACCATCTTAGTGACAATGAGATGCAATGTGCCTAAGGCCATACACAGCAGATACAAATTACTTTCTTCACTGCTAATTTGGAGGATTCAACTGAGAATGTTTAAACCTGAACTTTTCTTCACATGGAGAATGCTCTCTGAAAATGAAATCCTTCAGCTTGAACTGTAACTTTGGCAGCTTGCAGGCCTAATCTTAAATATTAGCCAAAAGGCAGCTCCAAGAATGGCTGAGAAAATGCAAAGGTGAATCAAAGCAAATATTACAGCAGGCAATGGGATTTCTGTGTAATTTAGAGGGAGGAATCTGCATTTCATAAGAGTTTGCACGAGTCAGCACTCAAAGAGCTACATTAGGTGCTTGGTACAACTGGGTTCACATTTTTCATGTTTTGATGGTGGGATTGTTACACATGTGGAAGCTTTCTACAGCAGTGTTACTCAGGGTAGCTAGGTAAGCCTGAAACAAATCACCACCTTACTGTCCCTGGGTTTCCAAACATTTCCCCCAGTAAAGGAAACAGATACGGCTTGAACCACTGTTTATAGTGAACACCTGTCAACACACAGTTTTCTATCTTTGTAGGGGCAGGTCTGTAGAATGCTACCGAGATATAACATTGCTCTACAACAGAGTTAATTTTTTTTTTTTTTGATGTATTCTAGTGCAATTCTAGTGGGGTCATTGGAATGATGCTTCACAATTGCACCCAAGAACTGGGCTTGCAGATTTGTACCTTACATTAAGGAACTAGCTCATTTATAGCATCTCAAACATGTAAATATGTATGCACTGATGTCTTGTTATTTCGCTGCTGTGTTCTTAATTTGCATCTCAAATCTGTCAGTTTGCTTCTAACAATAGTTGTCCTAATTCCCATTAGCAGGCTTTCAGATTCCATCCATCTCCACTGGGCTATGCATGAGCTTTGTGGCATCCCAAGAAGCAGATGGATGAGCCTCTGAAGGAACTAATGAAGGATCCAGGCCCTAGGGAAGAGGGACAATATGTAGCTTTACATGGGGCCAATGGAGAAAATGGTTTAGAACCTTTATTTCTATGAGTCTTAGGGCAAAAATGAGGGAATTAAAAGCTTTGTAGCAATGAGCCCATATTTGCGATTTAGGCTAATAATGCATTATTTTCCTCATTTGAAAACTCATTATGAAAGATTTCTTTTTTCTGCCATTCAAAAATTATATCCCTTCTCCTTTCAAAGCTGTATATATGGATTTTCCATATCCAGCTGGAGGTTCAACACAGCAGGCCAGTATCACTGTGAATTATGTTGAGACCAATCCCAAAAAGGTATCAGAAATGAAGATAAAGGAGGATAACAGCATTGTGGGCAGAAAAGAACCCATCATTCGCTTTTTGTAGCATTCAGCCATGTGAAGCAATATTGCTGTGTCAGGAGATCTTAATCAGCAAAGGCAAATATTTTTTCCACTATGCTTTAAGACAAGGCTTTATCAAATTAATTACCAATGTCTCTGAAGGAAAATTATCTATATAATTCCATGCAGTTTGATGGATTTCCTCCCTGTGTGTATGTAGAGACAGTGAATTTCTGAGCAAGCTGATAAAAAACCAGAAGGTGACTCACCTACAACCTGGATTATTTCGGCTAGTAATACTCCATCAGTCACATCTTGCTGTAAATCCTTTATCAATCTCTTGTGGCCAGATTTTGCTAGATAGTGATTTGCCCAATCTGTATAAATCTGTTAGAAAAAAGATAAACAAAAATAGTCATAATGCAAACTTGAAAAAGCAGAGCTCTTTGTTTCTCTCAGTATCTGAGGAGCTGTTTTAAGGTCATTGCTTTTTTGCTCTTTGAAACAAGTCAACAACATTCAAATTTAAAGTATTGTGCAGATGAAGTATTCAGCTTACCATAGTAAGGCTTCTTCTATTCAGAAATCTGAAATCAAAACTCACAGAAGACGACAGGAAAACTCTTGACCATGTTACAGCTTGAATGGATCATCACGCAGTCAAACTAAACGTTCCATGGCAGTAGTAAGTTTGCAGAAGAGATATCAATTTCCACCTAAGTAATTATTTTTTGAATTTTCCCTTTGACATTTCTTATTCATAACAGTTACTGAGAAATTTAAAATATTCTTTTCCAAGAACCACTTCTAGGAGGTATTAGCCATATAGCAACTTCACTTTTAAGAAACTACTTTGTCATTTTACTCACCTTTTGACAAGGGTCTGTAGGGACAGGACAAGGGGCAATGGCTTTACCGTGACAGAGGGGAGATTGAGATGAGCTCTTAGGCAGGTGCTGAGGCACTGGCACAGGTTGCCCAGAGAAGCTGTGGCTGCCCCATCCCTGGCAGTGTTCAAGGCCAGGTTGGACAGGGCTTGGAGCAACCTGGTCTAGTGGAAGGTGTCCCTGCATGTGGCAAGGGTTGGAACTGGATGAGCTTTAAGGTCCCTTCCAACCCAAACCAGTCTGGGATTCTGTGATTCTAAAACCCTACCAATTCTAGTAAATTCCATCTCACAGGTTAAACAAGGCCATTACATTGATTTTCATCTCCTATGCAAACTTCAAATGGTTGGGATTTATTTGAAAATGTATTACCTGAAACCTAAGCACACAAAAATGTCTCTTTAATCTGCATTAAGTACTGCTCCCCACATTCTAGCACAGTTTACTCAAAACCACCAGAAAACTTACAGAATCTTTTCATGCTAGGTTATCAAAAAGAAGGAAACACACTTGATTAGGAACTTCTGCTTATGAATTAAATAATATTTCTTGTTCTTCATACTGGACTTTCTTTCTTAATGTGACATTTATATTCCAAAGAAATAAAGTAAAAACTACTAAGTTACAGAATTTTACGTATTAAATACACAAATATTAATGTTCAACCCTACTCAAAAGTATACTGGAAATACCTGCATCTCAATCCAGCCTATCAGTAAGTAGGAGTAGATTCACTGTACTTTCTAGAGCATGACCCATGCCAATCCTTCACGGTCCTACAAACCACCATGTACTGGGGGGATTTTTTGGTGGTGTTTTTTCAGTTAAAGCACTAAGCTGGTGACAAACACCTCAGACATGTGGGTGAATCACTGACATGGAAGGCAATGTCTGCACAACAGTATTCAGTCCCCAGAAGCCCCGGGAAAGCTCATCCTGGACACTGCCCAGGAGCTACTGTTTTCTTTCACTGGTACTGATAGATGGAAAGAAAAGAGGACAAAGAGAAGGGCCCTAGTCCTTCAGGGCTTTGGTCACCAGGCTATGAAGATTCCTATCCCCAGCCTTAAGGAAGCAGATGGAAATGTTAACCCTTTAAATCATATTCTGTCTGCTGGCAAAATACTGTTAAAATAAAACATGATTTAGAGCAAGTCCCCCTCTACCACCCGCTCCTGAGCTATGCAACCCTCCCCATCATTGTATATCATAGAATCACAGACTGATTTGGGCTGGAAGTGATCTTAAAGCTCATTTAGTTCCAACTCTCTGCCATGGGAAGCTGCACCTTCCATAGGCCAGGTTGCTCCAAACCCTGTCCAGCCTGTATCAACATATATCAAATACCATCCAGCCCGCATCAACACAGATCCTTTAAATTACTAACTAATATAACCAAGCTACTAATTTGAGAAGCATCTTTAGCATCACTTTGAAAATGCAAAGCTTACGTCCTTCTCCTTCATGGGAGTTAAAAGCCAAAGCCTAAGAGTCAAGTATTTGCCAAACGAGACAGAGGAACCTGGGAATAATACAAGGATTGTAATTTCACTCTCCTCTTGCACTTGCTGATTCAGTCGCAATAGGATGAAATGAAGAGCAGATATTTTGACTAGACTTATACTGGTTATAAAATCTTCATTTGGTTGGTTTTATTTGGTTTTTTTTTTGTTTTTTTTTTCCAAGCCTATAAAACACTCCTGGTAGCAGCAATGAACGAGTCACTCAAAATCAGTAATGTGTGTCCCTATTTTTCATCGTTCATACTCTTAAGTTTTATCTTCAGAGCAGCGGGATGCGCATTTCCTACCGCAACAGTGTCAGAGACCCGAACAGAAAAACATGCTGGAACACCTCTGCGAAAAAAAAAAAAAAGAGCCAAAAGCCACCTCAATGAAAACCGCCTCAATGAAAAACTCTGAGTACACAGGAGTGATTTCCCTGACTGCCTGAAAGGAGAAAAGGGAATAAACCCCCAACCAACCCACACTTTGCACAAACCGGACATTGTGTTCCTTAGCTCCTGTTACAAGAAAACATTTTCCATAACAGGAAGCTATTTTTAAAGATCCAATGATTTCAAGGAACTAGGATTAACTTCACCTGCTTTGCTGCCGTATGGTTCTAGCTTGCTTATCTACAAGTAAAGACAGAGCAGCAAACAGGTTGCAAACCACTTACTTCACAATCACAAGGGTCCATCCTACACTGTTACTGCAATTCAGCTGACAAACAACTTATCAAACACAATAACTACGTTTCTTTTAATGGGAGGGCTGTGATGAACGTGCTGATTAACCACAGAAGAACTTTCAGCAAATATAAGGTTATACTTTGATGCATCAGTTCTAGCCTGGATCGTTTCCATGATGCAGAACATCATGCAATCAAACAAACGCTTGGATTAGCACTAGAGTTAATACAACACAGGAATGGAGAACAGGCAGTGCAGACCTCTCCTGGCAGAGCCTGAAATTACAGCATCAGCAAGACCTTGAGAGCTAGGTACGACTGATTTTTCAGTGAAGTAACAGAGTGAAAATGCACGTCCGGCATTGCAAAACTGCTGTTTCACAGCTGTTTCCTACGGCGCTAATTCCTGCTGCATCCGCGAACACCAGATCTTATACTCATGCCCTGTAAATAAACAGAACCACAGCAACGTCCCTAACTCACCTAACAAATCCTCCTGGTGAAGGAGACAACTGGAAACATCCCCAGATACCTCCGGTCTGATTCACTGTCTCCAATAACACATAAAGAAACTCCCTCTGGTTGGCAAATTATTCTTCTAATCCCTACCTTGTGTGCTGAAGTCTATGTCTGTGTTTGGTATCAGGAGCTGCAAGCAGAGCTTTTCTGCTGGTTACAAAATATTCCATTAAATGCATCAATAACAGGTCCGTTTCCAACTCAAACCATTATATGATTCTATACATGACAATAATTCGCACCAGGATGGTGAAAATATTTGGGTTTGGGGTATCTAAAGGTGTGGAATAGTATTGGATTCAGCCAGTTGTTTAGGAAAGCCTTTTGCAGGGAAATAAAAGTATGCTAAATCTTTGCTTCCTTAAAAACCTCTATTATACCACATTATTTTGCAATATGTGTAACATGAAATTGTATTCATGTATTTTTAACCTGACTGGGCTATTTATTTAGGAGCTCTGAAGCATTCTTATGGATGCAGTATTACACAGGCATACTGTAGTACCTCCTCATGGTCCACTGCTCATTTTTATGGTATATATCAAGCTAATTATGGAAACTTTCCAGCATGTTTTCAAAACATGTTGGTTGCAAGTCTTTGTAATGTGCTACACAAATACGATTCTCAATGTTTCTTTTCCTTTTCCATACAAACGAGAAAGAAAAAAAAAATTAGTGTACAATGGTTGCTATTTCTAGACACATGAAAAATGTTTCAAAGCACATAGTGTTTTCAAATGCTCAAACCCAGGCAAATAAGTGAGAAAACAATAATAAAAGGAGTAGGAAAACACTGCTGAGAAACTTCCCATTTCTATATGCCTGTCTCTGCAGAGGAATTTTAAATGCTCACCATTTATTTTCAGCAAATAGGTGACAAAGTCACAAGTTTGAATATTCACATGAATATTACCTGAAGTCACCTTATTAAAAAAATGGAAAATCTTGTGATATGAAAGACTCAACCCACTATAACCCAACAGATAACTGCTGTATTATACATATATTATATATATAATATATGGAGTCATGGAATCAACCAGGCTGGAAAAGACCTTCAAGATCATATGGTATATATTTCATACACATTATACTAAATATATTTATATTTTACATATATTATATGATAAATACTATCTATAAAGCATGTGTATGTATATATATAAAAAAAAGTATGGGCTTTTAAAACCTTGCACTGATTTCTCACAGTAGGAAAATCACTGGAAGCAGCTTCATTATTTTACCTAAGGAATCGAAGTGTACAATGTGATTTGGGCATTATCACCATTAGCAGGTCTTTGTGCCTTAAACCAGCCAGTTTAATGTTTAACTCAGGTCTAAGTTCTGGCTTTTGTTAAAGGTGGACTCAGCTTTTGGGCAGATTTTTTTCTCCATAGTAAATGATCCCAGGAATCAAATTATCTGGGAGCAAATTAAAAACAAATGTGAAATTTTTTTTTTTCCTTCTCTTGTCCCCTCTCCTACCCCCTTTTCAATCCATCAGGTTTTAATTAAGAGTGTTACAGATAAATATTGATTTTGGAAATATTCAGTGCCTTATGAGTCAGAGCTAAAACACTATTGCACAAAGTAGCAAGGTCTTGAGCAAAAACACCCAACCAACCAAACAACCAAGAAACCCCCAACACTTTGCTTGTAAAGAAAAAGGCCTCAAAATTAGTAAGTCTTAAATCAGGAAGAACACCACATTTAGAAATTCAGTGGGGTTTCTCCCCTTCCCCTTTCCTTAGCCTTATATCTGCTTGTTTAAAGCATGTTTCAGATGAG